CGGGGTGCGGGCGGGTGCGGGGAGGCCGGGGGCGGGGCCCCCAACATCTCACTCCCATCATCGCGCCGGGGTCGGGTCCCCCAATTCTCCAACTGACTGTGATCGGTCACTGTCCCGGGCTCTCTAACCGCGGGGCAGGGCCGCGCCTCCCAGCTTGAAGCAGGGTCTCCCCCCGACAGCGATACGGTTTGGAGCTCATCCCTTGCTGGGGTTCGTGCTCTCTGCCTGGGGGAGTGTCTCTGCCTCCCCCATACCTATCTTCATGTTATCAAAGGGGGGGTCTCATATACTTGTGCAGTGACCCCGGCTCAGAAGGGTCTTCTGAATCCTAGCCGTTAGTCGCCGCCACCGCCGTCCCAGGCTGTAGGGCCAGGGTTCTGGACCACCCCAAGCACTGTGTGTGCCAGGGCTGGGTTCTGGGTCCCGGTTGGGCTCCTGCCTGGGTCCTAGAGCCCCGCCCCCTGGGATGGAGCTTCCCCTGTTGGTGGCCAGCATTCTGCCAAGACCCCTTTCTCAGCATCGCCTTTTCGGCTCTGTCTTACTCTCCGCAGAAAAGACCATGAGCAAGTGACTCTGCTCCTATGGGTTCAGAACGCCACACTCCTGCTGACAAATCTCACTTCCAAATCTCAGTCATTTCCTTTAGTATCCAGCTAACTTCTTGAGCCACCCATTCTCTCCACCCAACCCCAGGACTGGTCTTTTAGGCGGTTCATATCTGGGGCTTGAGTCCCCCTCTGTCTCCTATATTGATCCTTGGAAGATCTCCAGCTAGTACTAGGGGAAGTCTGTTTTTCTTGGATAGCTTAGCTTACTTCTTCTCCCGGACTCTGGGTCCAGGGGTCCAGGCTTCATACCCCCAGAGCTCCAAAACACTTGACTGGGCTCCAGTGAGGTGGGATTCAGGAGTTTAGGCCTCAGTCTGGGTCTGCCGCTCCGCCTTCCCAGGAAGCCCCTCCCCAAGGCCCTGACCCAATGTGTGCTTCTCACCTTCTCTGCTTCCATCTCCCACCTCTTGACTTATGTGATTATAGTGTGTATCTTCCCCACTCCCCCTGCCCCACATGCCATACCCATGCTGCACACCTTGCTCGTTTCAATTGCCACCGTGCCCTGGAGAGGTGGCAGTAACGCTCTGGCCCTGAAAGCAGAGCTGTGACCCTGGGCCCCTGTGCAGCCAGAGGGTAGGGGTTGTGCCTCCGGTCCAGGGCCTTGAAATGTGATCTCAGGAACTCTGCTTGACCTCTGCTGGCTGGGGCCCCTCCCCCCAATTAAATAGAGTTGACCTTTCTTTCATATCCTCTAAAATGGGCTCCCATCAGGAGAGGGGGCTGCAGGAAAGTACCCCCCCAACCGCCCCCACATCCTAGCATCCTCTTTAGTCGCTTACTCTGTACTTAGTGTGCATTAGGTGCAGTGGAAACGTCCCGGTTTTTTGTGGAGCTCCGGGGCTCCTGAGGAGTGCTGGAGGCGCTGTGGGTTAGGTGCCGGGTTGTTAACTTGCACGGTGGGTGGCTGGAACTCTTCACATGCTCTGGAGGGAGAGAGATGAGGCTGTCTGCTCTCCTAAAGATTATAGTCTTGGAAACCCAATATAGTGTCACTGTGAGTGGGGAACAACTTGGTCACAGCGGGTTTAGTGCTTTGGTGACTCCCGAGATGGCTCCCCTCGCTCCTCATATCCAGTTGGTGATTGGTTTTGGGGTGCCAAACAATGTAGGGCTTTGTTGGTTAACTTTGCAATCTGATACCCTTGAGAAGGGTGAGCTCGGGGATTGGGGTGGGTGGGCTGGGACTAACTGTCTTGCACCCATCTATGGTTTTCTGGAGCAAAGATCCTCAGGAGGCCAGGATCCAGCCGAAGCTCTGAGGGGCCCCTCAAGGCTCATATATGTCTCCACACAGCAGCTTCCCAACAAGTCAGGATTTGAGATTCTGCTCTGGAAGCTGTTTATAGTGTGGTCCTGACAGGCGGCGGGGCCAGAGTGAACCACAGCAGGAAGTGCTCTCTGCAGCATGTGGGCTTCTTCCTGGACGCCAGCCCTCTCTCGCCCGCACCTGGTGGCAGCTGCTGGGAAATCTGAGTCAGGAGCATATGGAAGCCCAAGGGGTGTGCCTGTTTAGCCCTTGCAGGCCCAGCCGGGATGCAAAAAGGGTGGCCAGAGTCTCCCAGGACTGGGAGAAGCGTCTGCAGGTCCTTGGTCTCAATCGAGGGGGCCAGCAAGCTGCCTGAGTCCCTGAGCTGGGGGTGTCCAGGTGAGTAAGGATTCCCCAGCCCCAGGCAGGTAGGAGTAAGCAGAAGGGAGCCAGCTTCAGGAGGCATGTTTCAGCCTTGGTACTTTATAAGAGGAGCAACCTGGGGCTAGTCATGTTCTCTCTCTGAGCCTCAGTTTCTTCACTTGTGTAATGGGTGCAGTTATTAAGGTGCCAGACCCACTGCCCTCTAGTGGATTCTGACGGAGCCAGTGTAGAGGCCAGAGTAGAACTGTTGATAGGGTTTCTGAGACTGTAAATCTTTAAGGGAGCCTATGCCTCACTTTTTACCCAAGAGCGGCTGGTGGGTTTGAACTACCAAACTTTTGGTTAGCAGTACAGTGGTTGACCTACTGTGCCACCAGGCTCCTTGTTAGGGAACAGTGATGTCAGAGGCCCTTCCTGGTGCCATTAGATGCTCCACCACGCTGCCCTCCCCCATTCATCAGGATGGACTGCTCCCCCATCTGCAGTGGAGCTGGCAGCCTCTAGCATACTTCCAGGTTCCAGGACACATGACTTCGAGGGGTCACAGCTCCGAGGCCTGGCTGCAGACCCAAGGCCAGCCTGCAGTTTGGACAGGGCAGGAATTGGAACCCAGGCTCCCGGTACCCGGTGCTGGTATCAGTACGTGAACAGCTAGGGGGGGTGGGGGCCCACCGCTCGGCCCTGACTCAGTGTTTTAGGGTTGAGTTGACGAGAGTTCTTGGTTTCTTAGGTGACAGCTACCCCATCATGCCAGCTTTCTGCTCTCCTCTGCCACTTGCACCTTTTTTATTTATCCTTTTTGGAAGTTCCTTTTTCTTGCTGGGGGCCCAGTGAGGGTTACCCCAGAACCGTGCCACCTTGTTCCTTGAGGGTACCTCCTTCCATAGCCCATGGAGCCCACTTTCTTGCCGCTTGATCTCCCTGGGTCCTGTGTTGTTAAATACTGTTGAGTTGGTTCCGACCCATAGTGTCCCTGTATAGGGTTTCCAAGGAGCAGCTCGTGAGCTTGAACCTGTGACCTTGGGGTTCAAACTGACTTTGTAGTCTAGCGCATTAACCCACAGCACCACACCAGAACTCGGACTCCACTAGGTCCTGTGTGAGCAACCCTGTTTCAAACAATGGGGGCCACTGAGCACTTCTGTGTGGTGTGGAGCAGGCTGAGGGCCCTGCCAGGTGATGCACACCAGGTCTCATGGACCCATCACTGTCTACAGCCTGGTGAGCAGTGTCACTAACTGTCGGGTCCCTAAGATCCTCCCACCAGACCTATGACACCTGGGGACTGTTCACATTGGGGGCCTGCTGCTGGCATGTATGGGTGGAGGCCAGGGATGCCGTTCAGCATCCTACAGTACACAGGGAAAGATCTGCCCGTGTCAGCAGTGCTGAGGCGGAGGGAACCGTGAAACGCTCTTTGTGAAAAACAGAGTTCAGTCCTTGCTTACTCTGTCCACCAGAATAAACGCCCATTGGGTTAGATGGTGCCACCCAGGGGAACCCTCCCGCTTCTGTGAGCTCCCCCCTCAGTGTGTGGGTTTCATTGTGGGTGTCAGGAGGTCAGATGATGATGGGACTCAGAGTCTCTTGGGGGGGGGGGGCGGTGTCTGTGGAATCCTGAACCCGGTGGCCCTCAGCTGGGGACAACTTGGCGATGTCTGGGGACGTTTGTGATTGTCACGACTTGGGGCAGGGTGCTTGTAGGCTCAGGATGCTGCTGATAGCATTAGTGGATTCTGACGCAGCCGCCGCTGTAGAGGCCAGAGTAGAACTGTTGATAGGGTTTCTGAGACTGTCAACTCTGTTTTTCACAAAGAGCGTTTCAGAGGTCCCTCCCCCTCAGCGCTGCTGACACGGGGCAGATCTTTGTCTGGGATGGGGCCATCCTGTGTACTGGAGGGTGCTGAATAGCATCCCTGGCCTCCACCCATACATGCCAGTAGCAGGCCCCCGACGTGCTAACCGGAACAGTCCCCAGGTGTCACAGGTCTGGCGGGAGGATCTTTGGGGACCCGGCAGCCAGTGATGCTGCTCACTAGGCTGAAGACACCTTCCTCACCTGGTGGGTTAATGTGCACAGGACTCCTCCACGCCCCCAGAAGGACCTCAGCAGTGCTGAGGTCGAGAGAGGACACGGTTCAGAGACATGGTCCGAGTGTGATGGTAGATGGCTGGTCCCTAATTTCAGGGTGTGGATGGCCTGGGAAGCTCACTGGGGCAGTTCATCACACAGAACTCATGTGATGGGAGTGGGGTTGGGTCTTGGGGTACTGTCAGTTTGTCATGACTGATGGCATTGAGCACTCACTACCTGCTGAGTGCTCTGGGTCATCCCCTCCCCCTGAATCCCAGTGTGGTGGGGGTCCTGCTGGCACCTTCACTTGCCCAGGTCACCATTGGACAGCGAGCCAGGGCCAGAAGCTATGGTGGTAGAAGCAGACTTCTAGTCCTGCCCTGGGGCTGCTTTCAGGCTGGAAGATGGAGAAGAGAATCTAAAATAGAAGCTGCTGGGCGGGAGCCGGAGCCAGGCATTGCTGAGGAAGGTTGGAGGGGAGAGGGAGGAGGAAGAGGAGGGAGAGTCCTCAGCCTGAGTGATGTTGTGGCAGTGGGTGAAGGGGATGGGTGGGGGCAGCCATTGATGAATCCCCTTGGAGTAGGCACTGTAGGTGGCACAGTGGTTAAGTGTTCGACTGTTGTCTGAAAGCTTGATGGTTTGAAGGCACCATTGGGAGAAGGCAGTGCCAGTCAGCTTCCATGACGATGACCTCCCCGGAAACCCTCAGCGGCTGTTTGCTTCTGCCCTCTGGGGCTGCTGAGAGATAGAGCCCTTGGACAGGAAGGGCCCTCCCTGGGGGCACAAATGATTTACTCTAGACAACCGAATCCACGCACATAACAAGTAAGGAGCTCTTGTAGCATAGTGGTTACAAATCAGGCTGCGAACCTTAAGGTCAGCAGTTCGAAACTCCCAGCTGTTCCATGGGAAAAAGATGAGGCTTTCTGCTCCCGTAAAGATTTACAGCCTTGGAAACCCTGTACAGGGTCACTATGAGTCGGAACCGACTCCACTGCACATGCAACAACAACTAACTTCAACAACTAACTTAGGAGCTCTGGTAGCGTAGTGGTTACAAATCGGGCTGCGAACCGTAAGGTCAGCAGTTCGAAACTACCAGCTGCTCCGCGGGAGAAAGATACGGCTTTCTGCTCCCATAAAGATTTACAGCCTTGGAAATCCTGTACAGGGTCACTATGAGTCGGAACCGATTCCATGGTACTTAACAACAACTAACTAACTAAATAACTTACTTACTTACTTACTTACTTACTTACTTACTTAGAGGAGTCCTGGTGTGGTGCTGTGGGTTAATGCGCCAGACCGCAAAGCCATCTGAACTGCAAGGTCGGCGGTTCAAGCTCACCAGAAGCGCCTCAGAAACCCTATAGAGGATTGCTATGGGTCAGAACCGACTCAATGGCACTTAATAACAACACTAACTTGTGGTGGTTAAGTGCCTTCGAGTGGATTCCGTCTCATAGTGACCTTCTATAGAACCACCATCCTTGCAGTTCAGACGGTTGCAGCCTGACACATGAGCCCACAGCGCCACACCAGTACTCCTACTTAGAGGTTGGCAATTTGAACCCAGCTTGCAGAAGTAAGACTTGGTGATCTGCTTCCGTAGAGATGACCCTTTAGAGCGCAGGGGCACTGTGAGCTGGAACTGACTCCATACCAGTGGGTTTAGGTGTGGCTTGAAAGGTTTCTGTCCAGCCCTGGGAGACCCTGGAGCAGCCCCATGTCTCAGGGAACCCCTGATGTGGCCGCTCTCTCACGTGTGTGTGTGTGTGTGTGTCTGTGTGTGGTTGCTCTCCCTCAGAACATGGTGATGAGTTTTCGAGTCTCGGACCTTCAGATGCTTCTGGGCTTCGTCGGGCGGAGTAAGAGTGGGCTGAAACACGAACTGGTCACGCGGGCCTTACAGCTGGTCCAGTTTGACTGTAGCCCCGAGCTGTTCAAGAAGATCAAGGAGTTGTATGAGACACGCTACGCCAAGAAGAACGCGGAGCCTGTCCCACAGCCCCACCGGCCCTTGGACCCCCTGACCATGCACTCGGCCTATGACAGGGCCAGCACGCTGCCCAGGACACCCCTCTCGGGGCCCAACATTGACTATCCTGTGCTGTATGGGAAATACTTAAACGGACTTGGACGGTTACCCGCCAAAACCCTCAAGCCAGAAGTTCGCCTGGTGAAGTTGCCCTTCTTTAACATGTTGGACGAACTGCTGAAGCCGACAGAGTTAGGTGAGTCTGGGCTGCCTCCCCAAGAGGGATGTCTGAGTTTTCTCTTAGCCCTACTGGCTAGCCCATTGACCTGGAATCGTGTTTTGGGTGCTCAGCCAGAGGTGCTGGAGAGCTTGTCTCTCCTTTGATGCCCTTGTATTTGCCACCTCTAGGCTGCATAACAAATAACCTCTAGATTCTACACTTAAAACTACTAGTGCTGATTAGCTCTCCGTTTTTGGGGCTTCCAGCTCAGGCAGGGTCTCCCACGACTTTGCAATCATGCGGTCAGCCAGGGCCGTGTTATCTGAAAGGCCAGCTCAGCTTCTAAGCTCCCTCATGTGGCTTTTGGCTGGAGGCCTCAGTTCTGGACATAGACCTTGGTTCTCAGCCACTGGGACTTTTGGATAGATAACCCGAGGACCCCAAGTAGCTTCATGATATGGTGGCTGGTATCCCCCAGAGTGAGTCATGAGAGAGAACACATAAGCTCGCACAACCCTGATGGTTGCCACAGTCTTTTGTATGATTTTTATATCAGACATGACACATCTTCACTGTAGTTCCACTGACTGCTTACATCAACTTGGTGCCTAGTAGGCGGGGCCAGCACAAGGCTCTGCCTCCAGGAGGCGGGACCAGCATAGGGCCCTGCCTCCATGAGG